GATCATATATTTTTTTTTAATATTATCTGCTTTATTAAAAAAAAATATGTATAAAGAATTTTTTTTCCTTCTATATTCAGCGCGAGTCATACTATTTTATGAGAAGGGTTTTTATTTTATAAATTTATAAATATTCGGATCTATTTACAATAGATGTTGTGAACGTTTCTAATTTTATACAATAATTTGTAAAAAGTTATAAAGCTTTATGGATTTAAATTTAATATTACAGAAAACATGATCAATAAGAAAAGTAACATTTATCCCTTGTTGGTTTGGTTTCGTGTTGGAGAAGTGGCAAAAAAAAAAAAGTAAAGATGGATACATTATTAAAGGAGAAATAATCCAAGTGGAAAAATGTTTATTCCTTTTATAAACTTAAATTTAAGATAATGTTACAAAAATTTCTGTGTTAGATTTAGTTTTTTCTACCTAACATGATTTCACATTGTAATTATACGAAAACATAATTATTAAGTTAAAATTGATAGTAAAAGTAAAAAATTATTTCAATATATTTTTTTTCAAAAAAAAAAAATATAGATCATTATAAGAATAAAAAAAATTCTGATTGAAGCTTTATGCGAATTGTTGTTCGATGATATATATTTAAGTATAGAAATAAATAGAAAAGATTTTTTAAAATGAGTACTGTAAGCATTTTGCTTATTATATGAAAAAAAAAGAATAATTCTCACGTATTACGTATTGATGACGATTTTGTTTTTTCTATGTATATTTGTTATATATTATTCGGATTTTAAGGGAATTGTTGGTTTTCGTTGGCATTTATGGGCATGATGAAGAAAAAAGTTGTGAGGAAGGGCAAGGAATATGTGCATTTGAGTTTTAATGTTGGTGATAGATGATCGTTAACAAAATAAGTCAGAATATCACAAGCTGTTTTGGCCACCTTTTTGTGTTGCACTTGTATATTGCTTTTTATACAATTGAAGTTTTAATTAAACTCGTGTTGTATTATCCGTTTTATGTGAAAAGTTGATTATTGTCTTTTGTATCCTATTTAATACACTCGTTGTTGAAGAGTCAAACGAAACATGGTTCTCGACTTTTATTCTAAGAGATACACTGTGATGCTTAAATTGATAAAAGAGAAAAAGAATGATAAGTTATTGAGAGTACGAAATAACACGATGAGATCGTATCTTGACTACCTTTGTATAGCATGATTTAATAATGTTTGTAGTTATTTTTTTTCCATGCGTATGCATTAGACCCACTAATATATTTTCTATATATTATAGTTTTTCAATATAAGAAAAGAGACGATTTAGTTTTAGGAATAAAAATTTGCCATTATCACCAACCCCATAAAACTCAATTAAACTATTCAACTCCTTAATCTTCTAATGGAAGTTCTAAATTTTAAAGCAAACTCGTATGATTTTTCCACACACATTAAAATTAACAGAGACGAAAAAAACGAAACTCCGATCAATTATCACTCTTTGAAAAATTAGTAATGATAATAATAAATAATGACTTAGGCATGCAATGTTATGTCGCTAATTATGATGCATAATTTAATACACTTTTTTCATAATTTGTGAAATTAATTTTTTAATATTAAAATAAAAATGTAAGTGTTCAATTAAAATTTTGTTATTTAAATAAAATTAGAAGAGTTTAAAATATTTTTTTATTTAAATTAATAATTTAATTAAACTGTCGAAACCAATTTAATAGAATAATTAGTGACTAATTAAATATAATTAATTACGAAAATCTAGAGGAATGTTTTAATCATAACCCCCCTCCCCTACTCTCTCTTCCTCTGTTCCGGTTCGTTCCCTCTCTCTCTCTCTCTCTTTCCCTCTTCTACCAGGACAGAGGAGGGTAAATCCGCAGAACACGACCTTGTTTGCGTCGCCCTGATCAACCAGAATCTCAAGACCAGCGGAGAAAATGATCGAAGAAGAGAAAAACAGTTTCACCGCCGGCAATCCGCCGAGCCACTACGGCACGTTCCAAGGCGTCCTCAACTCCTATCCTCCTCTTCCTCCTTCTACGCAGCCCCTGCTCCAGCCGGTTGTCGGTTTCCCGCAGCCAGTTGCCCCTCCCGGGCCCTCCATCTCCGATCCCCACTTCCCTGTCCACTCCTACCAAAACGTTTCAAGTACACCTCTTTATACGTGATCATGAATTTGTTATAAAACTTTCGAATTTTGTGAATTTTCATTGGCTTATGACAACCTTGCAGGTCCTCATGGTTGTTCGTTGTATCATTCGAATGGCTATCAAGCCGCTCCTGGTATGAATTTTGCATTTTTTGAATTTAGTTATTACGTGTTTACTTTCAATACAATGGTAAATTGGATAATTAGGTTTGTCATTTCTAGCTAATCTTGAACTAGGATTTTCTATTATATAGGATCTGTTTCTCGGAATAAAATAGCATTTTTGACATTATTGTTTCATGTTGTGTTGTTTAAGCTTACGTTGTTTATGAGGGAAGACCCATCAGAGAACATCGTCTTCCTTGCTGTGGTATGGGGATGGGATGGCTTTTGTAAGTTCAATTCTTCATTCTTAGGCTCATTTCTTTTTTTGTCTCAGAATAAACTTCCATGTCAACATAACCATGTGGATGCATCCACTCGCCATGTGCATTACTGTTGTTTCTACTCAAATCAAGTGATGCTTTGATTTCATTTATTGCCCACATAATATAGCTAGCTTTCTGGATTAGGCTTAATGATTGATTCTCCTCTCTGCTTATCTGTATTTGCCAGGAAAGAAGAC